CACGCTACCGTGTGTCCCGTCCGCAACTTCACGCCTCGGCCCCGATATCGACGCCTCCGCTGGCAAGGCCTGCTGCGTCTTGCGCGATCCACCTTGCGCTTGCGTCCTCGTATGCGTCGTAGCTGCAACTCCGTGTCGCGACACCGACACCCGCATCCCGCATGCCCGCGTCCACGCTTCCGATCGCGCTTCCACTTGCGCCCATGCTCGCGCCTGACCCTTTGTCTGCGCTTGCACTTCTCAACGCTGTTTGGCATGTCCCCTGGACGCTGGACACACCCCCTGTGTGCTCGTGGCTGCAGCTCCGTGCCACGATGCTCATGATTTCGACCCCTGAACTCGCGTGCCGTGACAAGATGCTAGGTTAAAATGCTAAAACCAAACTAAGAAAAAAGAAACAACAAGAAGAACAAGCACCCCCATTGCATATACATGCAATGATGGGCTATACCTTTTTGTATAGCCCTCCCCCTTTCATGATTTAACAATCTGAGTTAATGAGGTACATATCTGATCCTCAATAAGGTCACAACCCCTTAATTCAATCCACCGGTTCACAATATGCAAATTAAAGACTTCAAATGCATGAAGGATGTTTGTATGTTTCAACAGAACGTTCGATAATCTTTTGTATCAATACATGAAAATTGAAACTTATGAAATTGAGTTGGGAAGAAATGAATGAACAAATTAACAGGTTAGACAAACATGTCAATCTTGTTTAAGAGCAATCTCCCTAACATTGATCATGGGAATGCCACTTTGTCTAATTACAACAATAATGAGCGGATCGATTTGGCTTTGCTTACAATACTTTCTTTTGCATACCCAACCTCAACTCCAAGATAGGTACACTCTTCGTTGTTTCATTTGAAACTTCCATTATCATTTGGTATCAAAGTGAAAAATATATAAAACAAAACGTTGAAAATAAAAATAAAATTGAAAAACCTGAAACAGAAAATAAAAGGTTAAAAACAGATGCTGGAAAGCTAAACTTTTCTTTGATTAAAAGTACTTCTTTGAAAAACAGAAACAAGAGTTTGATTAAAAGTATTTCAATAACTTTTGGAGGGAAAATTTATACTAAATGTACTAGAAAATCTAATTGAATTATAAAATATACAGCAAGTACCTTTGAAAAGAACAGAAACAATTAAAAAATTATTAGGGAAGTTATTTCACCCAAAAAAAAAAAAAGAAGAAAATTATTCGTGTTTACAGAAAAGTAACTTCAATCAGATTATTATATACAATAATAAATTACTCATGAAAATATTCCAAAATATGTGAATAAATAATAAAAAGTCCAAATAAAAAAAAATTCTAATACAACTATAATCAAAATTACTGAATACAGAAATATAAGAAAGATGATGCCTTTGATAATTAAAAAGAAACATTATATAGTATAATAATATATAATAAAAAGCTAAAAACCCTTCCTTTATGGAAGCCAAAAAAACCCATTTTAAGATGAAAATAACATATATTAATATATTAAAATGTTTTATACACTCATTTTTAGTTCTTGAAATAAAACAAAGAAAATACAGAACTGTTTAAAATTAAAAACTAAAAATCCAAAAACCAAAGTGATACCAGATAGATCTCAAGTTTCAAATGAGATTCAAAGCATCTACGCACCATGGAGTTGAAGGGTCTGCAAAAGAAAATACTGCAATCCCTGCTTCTCTCGACAACCAAGCTCACAATTGTGGCAATATAACGAGCAGCATGTCTTGAGATCATTAGTAAGGAAATGACTCCTTCAACCAAGACTAACATGTCACTAGACCCACAGATTGGCACATCGCATCTCTACAACTGAATTTCATAAAGTCTAACTTCCCATATACGATACTAAAGAAAAAAACGTTCCACTAACCATAAACATCCTTCTAGCTATGAAGTTTTCAATCCACATTGTAGATACCAGTAGGTTTCTTTAAAGAGTTATGATCCCTTGAGTGGTTATATCACCTCTGTATGTCAGATTGTTAAATTCTCAATTAAACCTGACATCACTTTCAACCCATGTTGAGGCCTAAGCAACTATGTATCCTAACAATGTCTTGTGTGTGTCTGTGTGTGGTGAAGGGATGATTTAGTATAAAATTAATTACAAAAGAAAATCCAATCCACTTCAAGTCTATACAATAATGAATACAAAAACAGTGAAACCAAAAACCCAAAAAAAGAAGAAACAGATCTTGAGTATTAAGATCCACTAGGCTCCATAATTCCTCTCTCCAAAAGCAAGGTGAATTGCGCAAGTAACCCAAAAAAAAAAGAAAGGTGAAATTTATTAGTAAGTAATTAAATCAGATTCAAAATGAATACAAGAGATAGCTATGTAATTAGACATGAAATATTCCATAAAGAATTGTTAAGACTTAATAGGTCCAGCATTTGATTCTTGGCCCCCAAAAAAGAAGAAAAATGAGATGTAATCATCAAGAACTAAAGGAACAACTTAACTCATCAAAAGTAAATTACCAATCACCTAAGTCCCATTTAGAGTCTTTATATATGAAGAGTTTCATTTTTAAGCTCTTCATATGGTCACAAATTAGCCTGAGCTACATTCAACTGTAGTAATCCCCACCCACAAGAGTGGCCTGACGCGGTCGTAACCCCACCCTTTAAAATCACATGAGAATATTCCAATGATTTAAGATGTTCAAATAATGAGGCCCACAACCTTCGGTACAAACATGATCCAATTACCATCTAAATATGCTCAAACTCTTGCAAAGTTACCACCTAGTCTTGTGATAATTTCCAATACAAGTATAACTTGTGTTGGCCAAAGAAAATCTTTAAAGATCCCAAATTCATAAATGTAATCTGAAACTTCAATTATTCTATTTTGCTTGCAGGGTATGAAATCATGAAACAACAAAGTAAATCAACCATACCATAGGCAATCAACAACATTTGTTTACCAACCTGGTTTTTCACGGTTGTCATACATGTGCTTAAACAGATGTCATTTTCATTTCTCATTTTTTCTTAAGCATTATGATTATATGGGTCATAATCATGACCAACAAAGTCGAATCCTGTAATATTTTTAACTATTAGCCAACTAGAGAAACAGCAGAAATTGAAATCATGTAAAATCCAAAGCTTCTGTCATGTGAATGCAGTGAGAGTAGAAAGTACCTGTTGGCTCTGATGAAGAAAGCTAAACTGAGTAGGAGAAAATCACAATTAAGTGAACTTTATCCAAAACACTTCTCCAACTCCTCTCTTCTCCCTGAAATGCAGAGGCTATGACATCTTAGCATAAATAAGTATTAAAAGGGTGTTCTTTAAGCTGTACATTGAAAGCAAAAACAAAAATCAAATTGATATGCTCTACTAAAATCTCCGAAAGAAAGAAGCAAATTTACTGCCAGAGAAAAAATCAAGAGCGCATTTACCATAGCCAAAGAAGAGAAGATAGCATGCTGAGCCAGAGGTTAATATTATTAACCAAAGATACGGTCTCAGAAAGAATTTTCAGAAAACTGTTGACGAATCTTTAAAATTTATAAATTTGGAGGAACATTCAAACTTTTTTTAGATTAAATAGAAATTTTGGCCAAGATTCATGAGAATACTTCACTGGAATAGTAAATGAAAATTCAGAAAGAAGACAAGAGTCGAACTTTAATGAATCATCAACAGCCATACTTGAAGAAGAAGAAAGATTAACGGTAGGAAAATTGGATTTAACAAAAAGACGAAAAGAAATCAGGGAAATAATAAAAACCGTAATCGCCAAAGAAGGAACTTTCTTCCTTCCATCCCCCCCCCCCCAAAAAAAAAAATCATCGCATTAACAGCAATACTTGACGAAGAATCGGCAAAAAAGTTAAAACCCTAATCGTCAAATTTTCAAATTTACAAGATCTAGTCCCCTAATAATGTATATGAAATTGTGAATCGGTGCTGGACAAGGAAACCCTATCTGCAAAGGTACCTGATTTCTTGAATCGGATTTCAAACTGAAAGACAGAATTCGAAAACCCATGGCGAAGACAACCAACTACCAACATCATTATTTCTTACGCCGACTGGAGGCGCTCGGAGACTGACGGCCGGAGGCGGAGAAGAAAGGCGGCTGTAACGTCGGAGGTTGCTCTGAACTGGAACAAAATTGAGTACTTGACCGTTAAGTTTCTTTCTGTGTTCATGGGCCAATTTCTGAGCGTTGGGTTGTTTTTTGATGTTAACGTGGGCCAATTGCGTGATCTGGGCTAGTCTGTGGGCTTCGTGCATGCTTCTACCGTTTTTGACCCTTTTAGTTTACCTTATTTTATAATAAGGATTGTATTATACTATAAAATAAAGATAATTGAATAGAGAAAAGTCTTAATATTAAGAAACCTATTCCCATGCAAGAGTTTTTATTGTGCAGTTTAATATAGTTTAATATAATTTTGACTACACACTACTTTTTTTTTTTGAGTTTTTCTAACTTATACTTTTAAAGCACAAATTAAAAATATAATAATTATATTTTTTATATTAATTAATATTAAAAAATTTAAATTTGACTTTTATTTAAATAATTATTTAATTAAAATCATTTACATGATATTAGTGATGAAATTAATGATAGTTTTAATATTTTTTAATACAAATTAATGTGAAAATGATGCAATAATTATACTCTTAAAGAGTATAGGTTAGAAAAATTCTTATTTATTTATTTATTTATATGAGAATAGGAAAAATCAAGAGGTTTTGCATTTTAAAATATTAAGATGTGCAATATAATTGCTATATAATAAATTTGATAAAATTAAAATTCATACTATATTTCACATATTTAATGTTTGTGATTAGGTGTCTTAATATTTTTAATATTAGAATGACTTAATCTTCCTTTTCTCTATTTGTATTTGTAAAACCTTTGTTTAAAGATGGGTTTGTTAGGGCACATATTAAGGGGTCTTAAGTACACTATAATGCATTAATTTATATGAAAAATAAATATGTTAATATTAATTTTAATATCTATGTTATGTGAATATTTTTTATTAAATAATTGATAAAATTAATATTAATTTTTATTTTTATTACATGTATAAATGATAAAATATATATAATAAATTTATCCTAAAACACAAATTTAAAAAACCCTTTAGAGATATAGTTAGGGAAAAAGCTGTCTTTAGAGAAGCGTTCCTATGAATAATAAATCCTCTAATTTTCACAAATATCATGTAATTTTTGTCCTTTTAAAAAGTGTACATGCAATCGTGATAATTGAGGATATCGAAATTGAGGAGAAATTGAAAGTGCTTATATTAGCTTATGCAAGTACCCTAGCTACTCTAATTAACATGTTTATTTACGCAACTGTACGTACTGTTTGCATTTATACAGAGTTAATTTGGGGAGTCATCGGATGCCACCATGCCGACCAGAAAATCAAATAAATCAGTGGCCATGACGGCGGAGGCAACATCCTCTTTGCCTAGCGTTCGCCTCTTCCCTTGCATGGTGACCATCCAAGACCGCCGCGTTAGCTCCTCGATGAACAACTCACAAGCCTTGGAGAACACACAATTGGAGCCTCCCCGGATATTATCTTAGCATCATCACCTGACCTTGTCATGATCTTCTTGATCCTTGCCAACGGCAGTGAATGAGGCCCTGTCTTCCTCAGGAGAGTATTGTGGAATATATCCCCGGCTGCCTCAGGATTACTGTGTTGTATACTTTCTGATGATCTGTAGTTAATGAGAAGGTTAAAATTGAAAGTTTTAATTTTTTTTTTTTTACTAACGTTCCAATATCCGATAATCACATTGAATTTTAAATAATTCGAAATCAAGTTGTGTCAGATTTTATTAAAATAAATTCTCTTAAATTTTTTTTTTTCATTTACAAAATTTAAACTTAAAATTTTATTTAAAGAGAATTGAACTCTTTTTATTCGAATAAGGCGGTGATTAATAAAAGTTTCAATTTTTATATACAGGAAATAAAGCATAATGTAGGCCGGCAGTTTCCTTAACTAGCTTATTAGCTAGGCCGGCTTAAATCTAACTAACTATACTGTAAATAATATACGGTTTTATTGTACAGTGATGCTTATTAATTGGTTAGTGATCTTCTAATTGAAAGCCGACCAATATTATTAAATAAATCTAGGTTTAGGATCTATATATCTATTAGGTATAATTTGAAATTTAATATATATGATCTACAAATAATCAATTTAATTATTGATTAATAAATATGTGATATATCTACAATTTTAATTACAAAACAATTTTTCACATGTGATACATATACTATTAGAAAAAAAAATGATCAAATGGAAAACGTGAGGATATACATGGCTTCAGGCTAGATATATATATATATATATCTCTCTCTCTCTCTCTCTTGCATGATCATGCATGCCTCGAAGACATCAATGTGCTCACAACAAAATTAATTGATTAAGGGGGAATGTGAATTGGATTAATTTAATTGATATCTTAGTACTAAGAATCGTGGATCCACGCCACTTCCAGGCAGATTTCTTTCATCACGTGAGATCTGGAGACGATTAGCTGTCTTTGAAACGTGAACCCTCTCCTTTGTTTTGCTCCAAAATCTCACCAACATCTCTTTAGCATCTCTCTCTTTTCTTTGTTACCCTTTTTTTTCCTGGTTCTAAAGTCTAGACTTCCTTTAGCATCTTGCCTCTACATTTTCGAATAGAATTGAGCTGCCTTTTATGGTAACAAAAATAAATGGGGCATGCAAAAGTGCAATCATGTTCATGTTGATAAGTTTATCTTAAAATGTTTTTGGGAGCTCCACCTCCTCTATTTTTTCATATCTCACGTGAGCACCTTCTCTTGTCTTTCAGTCTCCTGCGTGCATGCGCGGTCTCATCATTTCACTACCACTTTCCCCATTCCTTCATAGTCCCCCTATTCCTTCATAGTCCCCCTATTCTTATCTTATCAACGACAATTCTCTTATCTTGTACTTGTACAACATAAATGGTGCATAGTATAACAATCAATGCAGTTGTTACAATACATGTCTTGTACAATTTTAAGTACTTATAATCACAATGTAACATTAAATAAATATAACGTGATATTAAATAAATAGACGTAAGTAATATAACAATATATAAATCTTTAAATGAAAAAAGTCAATTATATAATAATATATTATATTTTAATTATAAGATTTTCTAATAGCAATATAAACACCATTTTAGTTCTAACTTAAATAAATAAATAAAAGAATTAGCTGTCGGACCAAGAGTCATGCATATGAAGAGAGCTTTTACTTTTGTTAAAAACAAAAGTTAAAAAGCAGAAAGAGTTAAAAGGAAATTCAATGATCAAACACACACATAGAATCATAAAGACGAATGAAATGATCTTTAATCTTTGGCAATTCAATTCATGTGCCTATGTATGTACAGTCTTAATTTGCTTGGTTTGGAAGCTTCACTCCTTCACTTTATGTCCAAAACAGTTAAAACATTATCTTCAGATAACTTTGTTTCTCATGTTAATTTGACTTTACTCCTATTTTTCTGCCCAATTAATCATATTAATTAGTGGAATTTGGTGAAACCCAAAAGTTCGTAATTCTTACATCTACTTTGCTTAATGATGAATAATTATAAGACCAAAAAGCTGTCTATTATTAATTTGCGATTAATTTCATGAGAGTAGGTATAGAATTACTATATGATTTTTGAACCAATAATTACAAGCTTAATCAATTAATTTGGTATTTATGGTCGGAGAAAGTAATGATGATGATTAAGGTGAGATAGGAAGATTGAAGGTCTCTTTCAAAAACCAAGTTAGAAAGGTTAAAGGAGGCTATCTACATAAGAATTCTTCATCACCATTCACCGACCTAATTAGGCATCAACACCTTTACTTAATATGATTCCCTTTCTTTACTTCTTTTGTACAATATGGAGGCCCTTATCTGTCCTCTTCTTTTCATTAATTACCTTGCTTTCCATTAATTTATGTCATGCATATTTGATATGCTTTAATTTATTTTCTTGAAGCTATCTATAATAATGTAAAAGGCTGCTTAATTGGTCCACAAACATGAATTTCCACCAACCCAAAATAAATAACTACACCAAAATCAAATCAACAAATTGTACTAGTAAAAAAAATAATTGGTATACTATCGGTTCAATTCATTTTTTAACACATTTTCGGTTTAGTCATTAAAAATATAATATAAATACAGTTAATTTAATCGATTTATGTATTCTATATACATAATTATATCATTAAATTTGTTTTATCTTTAATTTTAGATTAAAAAATAATAATTTTTTAATGAATATATCACGAAATATGTTTAACCAGAGTGTGTACCAATCATGATCCGTACCTGTAAATACTGTTATATATCCTGTCCATTTTTTAACAGGAGGAAAGTAGTGGTCTGGTGGCAAAGTTTCATTTCAACCACTGTTTTAGTGGGGGTTTCGATTGTGACCTATCCAGATGTACCAATGGATCGAATCCCTCGAGAGCACATGATGCTGTTTCAGAAAACACAAAACTTTAGGGTTCTCTTTTTTTATGGTCCTGGCAGGCTCGCTTATGTCTCTTGCCTCTCCTTAGGCTGCACCTAAAAGCGGAATGGGGCAACTTGGAGAGAAGGAGACAGTGCCAGAAAGATGTGAGTCCCCACCATTAGCAGAAGATTACAGCCCCCTACTTTCTGAGGAAGGCTATTATTAGTTGACAGTTGTTGGGAACTCGCAATAAAATTTGAGCAAATGCTCCTCACCAAATTTGCATATGTCAATAAACGGTGACCCATATCCATCAAATATGGTCATATATAGAACTCGGTTCAGCAATAAAAAAACAAGTTAATCAATAACTAAAATGTTAGAACTTCATCGTTACATTACATAATCGATGGACAAAAAATCTTGAAAGATTTCGAATTCAAATCTATATTTTACGTGTTACCTGCATAAGCCTGGACACCTGCACGAGGGAGTCTTTATTGAGGGGCCGGGGTGAGGTTTGGTCTGTGACAACAGATGCAGCTTTCTCACGCATTACACATGAGCATCTTTAAAGCCAAGTAAAGACATTTATATATACATACGGCAGTTGTTGTTAATATATATTCTCTCTAGCTAGCTCTACCTTACTCCTTCCGTCTCTCAAGGCTTTTAGCCACCAGACTCCACACCCTAGATTAATTTCCTCAAATATTTAAACATGAATTGGTGAGCTCGATCAAAGCTTGTCCTGATGGATCAAATGCTGTTCTTAAATTGGTATTGTATATATTCTCAGACCTTATTGAAGACATTGTCTTCAATGATCGATGCTTTAGCTTGTTTGGCAAAGCAATGCATTCATTTCTAAAGCAAGAAAAATATACATCCCACCTAAACATCATGCATTCACCAAACTTTCAGGTCAATTATCTATGTTTTTTTATGGGCTATGGATTTGATATTCTGGTAATATGGTTTGTCCAGTGAGGAGGACATTAAATTACAAAGGATAAAATGGAATCAAGACTATCAAACAATATTATTACTTTGTATTAACAAACCGAAAAATAGTTCGTGGATAATTTTTTATATAATATTTTTATATAATTTTATATTTTATTTAAAGGATGAGTTTTTTTTTATTCATTTAGAACTAATATTGATATTGAATATAGGGTTTGTCTAAATTGTATTATAAGGGTACATATTAAAAGTGTAATGAATGTATTTTTTGTAATTAAATTACATAAAAAATTATAAAAATCAACATTTATTTTAACACCATTAATATATACATGATTTTAATTGATTAAATCAAAATTAACATTTATTTTTTTTCATGCAAATTAATTATAAAAAGTATATTAATTATATCTATTAATTTATGTCTTAAAAATATAAGTTAAATTTTTTTTAAATATATTTACTCACTTAATGATATATAGAAATTATACAAAGAAAACTACCCATATATTACTGCCTTAAGTTACCTACTTAAATATTACATGTTGGTTTCCATTTCCATTGTCTATTTTCAAAAAAAAAAAAAAAAAAATTACATGGTTTTTTTTTTTTTAACATTGAGAAATTGGAGAAATGGGAATAACACTACAATAAATTAAACTATAATAGCATCCATAATTACGATGTACCCTATCAATATAACCACAGTTGCAAGTGCAAAAATTTACAAATTTAAAGAAATATTAAAAGGTACCTAAAACTGTAAAGCTCAATTGGCAATGGAATTACTTGAGAAAAGAGAACAAACTACAAAAGTAATAAATAAAGTACTTGCTTCAATGGGGTCTCCCTCACCCAAAAGTCCAAGTAATAGATAATGACGTGACATAATCATTAAATGGAATCCGATAATGAAAGATGCTGAATTAGATTAAACTTTTTCTATTTCCATACTTAAAATCAACAATATTCCATCCTCACCTTTCCTTTTGTTTTTTTTTTTTGGCTAAATTAATTTCCACAATCTTTTAGAAAATATATTACGTAGTATCTTTTTGAAAAGGTGATATGTAATTGGCTTTTTTTGAACCACCTAATTGATGTCACCCATCAAGAAATTAAAGCAGCTACCTAGAAACAAGTATTGTCTATTTATTTCCCCGTTTAAACAGAATCAAGTGAATTACAGAAGAGCGCACCCGGCCCTTCTGGGCAAGTGGCACTTTGCCACCATGATCTGTTTTTTTTTTTTTTGGGTTTTGAGCTCAATTTTTGACAAATTGTTAAAAAAAAAAATTACAGAAGAGCAGAGATTTTTTTATACCCCACTATATTATTATTTTATTAAATAATAAATATTAATTTTATTTACTGAATTTATATTTTGAAGAGGAGGATTCAAAATCTCAATTTTTAAGTTAAAAGTGTATTTTATTATGGAACTTATAATCATTATATTATTAAATTTAGGAATATTTTAGTAGTCCATAATTATAATTAATTATTAATTATTTTAATAATTAAATAATATTTTAAGTGAATTTTAACAAAAGGTCAGGTCATATCACCATAACGGTCCCTTACAGTACTGGAAAAGTTTTATATGATTGGAAAGACAGATAACCTAGGTATGCCCATATTGGTAGGACTGAATAGACCCACTTGGGAATTTTGGATGAATGAAAAGTTCATACTTCTCCCAAAAAAATTTGCAATACTTTTGTCTTAAAAATTTTACTTTTAATTAACATTTTATAATATTATTTACGTGAAACAAAAAATCAGAATTACTTGCATCCGGGACTTATGGCTCAATAGTCATAGATCGATTTGAAGATGCATCTTCCCAACCCAAGATATGGGGTTCGATTCCTTCCACTTTCATATTTGTAATGTTATTAAAAAAAAAATCAAAATTACTTGACAATTTTAGTTTTATCTCAACCATCCATGAAGTGATTCTACGTTTAGTTTCATGTGAGGACCACCTAATAAATGGTTGAAATGAAATTATGAGATCTTCACTTTTCGTAATCTTTATTATTTAGAATTATAAATATATAATTTTTTAAGTACAAATTTATAATTGCCCCTTCATTTTGCAGAGCATGAATTTATATAGACATTCACTTATTAATTACAGTAATAAAGATACAATTAATTTTTTATGTAACATTTTTTACATGTCAATGTAATTAAATTTAAATAAATAAATGCAATATTAATTTATGAGTCACATAAATAAAAGGAGTTTTTTTCTTATTTGATATGTCACATCACATGAATGAAAAAATTCACTTGCTCAACTATTTGTAAATAAACGAAAACCTATTTTTACAAATTTTCTTAGACCTATAATATCATGACCTTTTGCCATATAAAAAAAGTTAATCATTTTTTAAAATTTAATACTCTATCTATAAAACATTATAAAGAAAATTTTATATAAGAAGCGAATCTTTTTATTTATTTATTTATTTTGGTCATATTAAGATTTAATCACGAGGCATAGTATCATGTCCGTATCAAATAATGTAAAATTATTGCTTAAAAATGTGTTGTTGACTGATTTTGCCCCTAACCCAGCTGGAGCTCACGTGAAAAATCTTCAACAAAATTTTAATTTTTGAAAAAAAAAATTAAAACATCATAAATATTAAAAATATCAAAATATCTAATAATAATTATATAATAAATTTAATAAAATTAAAATTTATATTATATTTTATATATTTAATAATTATAATTAAATATTTTAACACTTTTAATATTAAAAGATCTTAATTTTTTCTTTTCTCTTATTTTTTACCGAAATAAATTGACAACAACGTGAGCATATATGTGATATAAATTATATTATTTTAAAAAATAAATTATAAACTCTATATCATTTAATTATTAACACTCTTTAATTTCTTTAAAATTTATAATATTATATATATCAATTAATTTAATAATATAATATAACATACTTTATTAAATAGCTCGTTGCGGCTCAATGATATTAGATTTTAGGTTATTGCGGTTCACTTTCATAGGTAATGTGTTCGAATCTGATATTGTTTAAAAAAAAATATATAACATAACTTATTAATCTCAAAATTTTTGTCTTAAATTTTCATCTTTCCTTCCCTTCCTCTTTTATTTTAGTTAATAAAAAAAAGAAGCTTCTTGTCGAAATTTTTACCATTATTATTTTCATTTTTTAAATTAAAATAAAAAAAATGTGTATCTCTCCCCGTACGCTGTTTCTGTTACAAATAGAGACAGACATAAAAATGGAAAAGGGAGAGAGAGGGAGGAGCTCTGCTTCAGATCTGCTCTTTGTTTTCACCTTCTTAGTTCGTATTTTGGATTCAGTCTCAACTCCCACTCAACCACTACACTCTATCTATGCTATGCATTGCGCCGCCACTTTGGCGTTTGCTTTCGATCGGAATTTCTCCCTTTAATGTTAGTTTTCCGGCTCGTTTTCCCGGAACTCCGGTGAATTTCCGGCGGAGATGTTCAGGTCGGCGAGATGGAGGAGCGAGAAGAACAAGATCAAAGTTGTTTTCAAGCTTCAGTTTTATGCGACTCAAGTAATCGCATTCTCATGTTTGTTATCTTTTTAGTCCTAATTTTATCAGTTGAAATCGCTGAGCTGTTTCACTTTATATTTTGCATTTGCTTGACTGTTTACGTTTTGATTGTTCGGTTGTTTGGTTTCTGAGAAAATGAAGGGGTAGAAATTCATTGCACATTTTCGTTTTTCTTTTGGAGTTAATTGTGCTTTAAATGAGTTAAGTACTAAATGTGCTTTTTAATTGAGCTCAAATTAGGTACCAAAGTCAAATGTGGATGGATTAACAATATCTGTGGTGCCTGGAGATGTGGGAAAGCCAACATTAAGATTGGATAAGGCTATGGTTCAAGAAGGATGCTGTCGGTGGGAAAATCCAGTCTATGAGACTGTTAAATTTGTGAGGGAGCCCAAAAATGGGAAGATCAATCAGAAAATATATCATCTTATTGTGTCAACGGTGAGAAATGTTGTGAATAGTGCCCCAAAAGGTGTGTGTTTATTGTTGTCAAGCAGTTCTTTTTATGGTTTAGTACTGTCAATTGTTGTAGGGATCGGCCAAAGGCGGTTTGATTGGGGAAGCTTCCGTTGATTTTGCTGATTATGTTGAGGCAATCAAAGCTTCAGCTCTTTCTCTTCCATTGAAGAATTCAACATCTAAAGCAGTTCTGCATGTTAGTGCTCTTTCTGTGCTCTCTGTCTTGGGTTTTATTTGTCATTATTCTCAAAAGATAGAACTCTTATGTTGATTTATGTGTATGATTGAACTCTGCCATTTGCTTTTCAACAGGTTTCAATACAGAGGGTGCAGGAGAATGCTGATCAAAGGTACAGAAATGAATTTCATCATATACTTATCTGTTAAAGTTTCAAATTGCTGGAAACTGCCTTTACAAGATTTTGATGGTGAATTATGATCTTACCTTTTTCAATGGTTTCGCAGAAAGGTAGAAGAAGGTGAAGATGCAAACTTTAAATTCCAAGATAGGAGCTTGAAGGCCCATATAAGCAATGATGATGCAGAAGAAGAAAGCATTATGAATGCTGTCATTGAAGTAAAATTCTACTCAATTCTTTGGAAGAATGCATTTTGAGTTTTCTTTTATTTTTATTTTTTTTTTGTTACATGTCACCATTTCTCGTATATAACTGTTGCAACTCTTCAGTAATTTTCAAATTCAAACTGTTCATTATAATTATATTATTTTTGCAGGATGGAGCTTTCAACAAAACTGGCCACAATGTTGAATTTAAATTGAATCGTGGAGCATCTTGTGCATCTGACAATACCATTTCAAGTTCTGACAGTAGCTCTGGACTTAATACTCCAGGAGAACTTGGAGTGGGAAATAATAATGTCCATCAAGACCTTACTAACAATCCTTCATCTCTGAACCACGCCCCAGTGCCTCATAGACCAACAGCAAATGCCTCCATAACAACCATTGAAGAGCATCATAGATCACAATGGGGATGGCTAGCCTGTTCTGATCATGGAACGAGCACTGATGAGTCTACCAGTGGTTCTCAGGATACCTTCCCAGGAGGAAAGTCTGAACATGCTTCAGATAACGAGATTGAAAAATTCAAGGCTGAGCTTTTTGCCTTGACCAGGCAAGTCGATGTATCAGGGTTGGAATTACAAACCCTCAGAAAGCAAATTGTAAAAGAGAGCAAAAGGGGGCAGGATCTCTCACAAGAAGTTGTTTGCTTGAAAGAGGAAAGGGATGCCCTCAAAGTAGAATGTGAGAAACTGAAGGCCTTTCAGAAGCGAATGGATGATGCAAAAGCAAAGAGCAGATTGCAGCATGAGTGTGGGGACCCCTTGGTTGTTCTTGAAGAAATCAGGCAGGAATTGAGTTATGAGAAGGACCTGAATGCCAATCTGCGGTTACAACTGCAGAAGACTCAGGAATCAAATGCTGAGTTGATCCTGGCTATACAAGATCTAGAAGAAATGTTGAATGAGAAGGATGGGAAGATATCAAATCCTCCAAGCAAATCAGGGCCTCTGGAGAATGCTGAACAGTCAAGAAGTGATACAGATGAGGATGAAGAACAAAAGGCTTTGGAAGAGCTTGTTAGGGGGCACAGGGATCCCAAGGAAGCCTATCTTCTTGAGCAAAGGATCTTGGATCTCCAAAGTGAGATGGAGATCTACAGGAGAGACAAGGATGAATTAGAGATGCAGATGGAACAGCTTGCACTTGACTATGAGATCCTGAAGCAGGAAAATCATAACATGTCATATAAATTAGAGCAAAGCCAGCTGCAAGATCAACTGAGCATGCAGTGTGAGTGCTCATCTTCCTTTCCTAACATAAATGAACTTGAGAAACAAATTGACAAATTGGAAACTGAGCTCACGAAGCAGTCAAAAGAATTCTCTGACTCATTAGCCACAATAAAGGAACTTGAAACCTGCATCAAGAACTTGGAGGAAGAACTGGAGAACCAGGGACAAGCCTTTGAAGCTGATCTAGAGACTGTAACATGTGCCAAAGTCGAGCAGGAGCAGAGAGCCATCAGAGCAGAGGAAGCCTTGCAACTGATGAGATGGAAAAATGCAAATACAGCTGAACGGCTACAGGAGGAATTTAGAAGGCTCTCCATGCAAATGACCTCTACATTTGATGCTAATGAGAAGTTGGCCACAAAAGCATTGACAGAAGCTGCTGAACTGCGCAAGCAGAAAAACCATCTGGAAGGACTGCTCGAGAAAGCTCATGAACAGCTCCAGTCAGCTAGAGAGGACTATGAGGCAAAACTATCTGAGCTTTCCAGCCAAATAAATTTTAAGTCAAATCAGATAGAACAGATGCTGGGGGATCTTGATGATAAATCAAAGCAGCTCCAACGTCAAAGGCAGCATGAGGATGAAGTTACTGGGGCTTTCTCCCTGGAGATTGGCAGGCTAAAAGCTGAGATTGAAAAGCTGACTACTGAAAAAAAATTACTCTGTGAAAGAGCAGAGCAGAGAGAAAATATAAGCCTTGAACTGGAAAAGATGAAAACATCACTAAATGAGACAGAGACACTGGTGCAAAGATTAAATGTGGAAAGAAATGGGATGGTTGGTACAATTGCTTCGTTGAAGAAAGAAGCGGAGAAGTCATTAGATGAATTGCAGAGTATGAAGCATCTCAAGGATGAAATGGAGACGGCAGTTAACTTCCTACAGTCAGAGTTGGACTCACTCAAAGCTCATTGTAGGGAATTGAAGCATTCGTTGTCTGAAGGTGAGGTTGAGAAAGGAAAACTTAAAAAGCAGGTGTACCAATTAAAGGATGAACTTAAGAAAAAGGAAGATGCACTCACTAGCATGGAGAAGAGGCTGAAGGATAATGGTGGAAGAGCAAGATTGTACGATGGAGCAAAACCAACATTGAGGAACAATAAAGCTGCAGCAGTTCCTCATAGCTCTAAAGAGGTTGCAAGCATAAGGGAGAAAATGAGACTGTTGGAGGTAAATTTACAAATCCAATTGGTAATAAGAACATGTGGGACTCTCCTTTTTCCCATTATCATAATAGGATTTGTGTCATTTAAATTGATGTTCTCCTGACATTACTTGCCCAGCTCTTTCCCCTTGGATTGGTTTCTTGATTTAGTGGATTTTCTTTATTTATTTTTTTTTGGTGGAGAAAAGATAATTCATTCATGATCTTTTTTTTTTTCTTTTCTGTCAGGGACAAATAAAGTTGAAGGAAACTGCTTTGGAGGCATCTACAAATTTGTTTTTGGAGAAGGAAAAGGATCTTCAGAAGAAAATTAATGAGTTAGAAAACAGAGTGGAAGAACTCAATCAGTATTGCATCACTTTCTCTGAATACCAGTGTCAAAAGGTTTGCAAGCTCACTTTCTACATAAGCCCTGTATTACTTCTGAGTGTATATCTTGCTAAAACTCTCTATATTTGCTTCTGCATGTAATCAAACTGGAATACAGGTAGATAAAGATATAACTGAGGCAACTTTAGATGGAGGTGTGTCTGAAGAATTGGGAACAACAGCTGAATATTCAAGTTCTATTAAGAGGTATGGCTTGAAAGGAATGGAATATTTTCTTTAAGTCAGTTTTCTTCTACCTTTGGATAATAGTTATTTTGAGGGTATGGCATTGGGGAGCAATTGCTGGGAAAAGGAAGTTCCAAACAAATAATTACTTGTATTATCTCTTATCTGCAGCAATGATGGCATTTTATTGGAGGAAGTACCAAAGGCCTCATTTGCCAATAATAGAGACTGCAACCAGCATGAATTATTGACTGAGTTAGCATCACTGAAGGACAGAAACAAATCCATGGAAAATGAACTGAAGGAGATGCAAGAACGGTATTCAGAAATAAGCCTCAAATTTGCAGAGGTGGAGGGTGAAAGACAACAACTTGTGATGACAGTCCGAAATCTAAAGAATGCCAAGAAGGGCTAAAACATTGTTTCCCCCCCTAAACCCATACACTTCATGTATAGCTGAAGCAGTTCAATTTTCCCCCATACAAGGTTTAGATGCAATGGTTCCTGCTGAATGAAAAAATAAAGGTGTACAAAATAGATATAAAATTTTGAGAAACTGTTTTGCAGTCCAGACTGCATTAGATTGCACCACAGGGACTTTTCAATGAAGGGCAGGCCCTCGCCCATCCAAAGGTCCCTATTTTACAGTCTAAACTGCAAAACAGGGGACCCATGAAATTAACCTAAAATGTTTTTGAATGTAGGTAAAGTGTTATTTAGTCTCTGGTTCTTGTTATTCAATATAATTCTTTGCTTCTTTCTGTTGTTTTCATTCAATACTTGTAACATGACGTTTTTCTTTAATATACTTATTTCATTTGTTAGTGAAAATAAAATCAATTAGATTTTACCTGTTCTTGTATTCCATACCATAGAGCTTCTCCTCTTTGAGAAGATATGGCACCAGATCCTGATTCCTCAAAGATTTTCTTTTACGAATATATATATCTTTCTAGAAAAGTGAAGTGTGATCTGCCCTGTGAGTATTGCATTTCAGTCTACCTTGCCCAAAGAAAACACTCGTATAAAAGCATTCTAATACCTTTTTCTTAATTATAATTTCTTGTAAGCAAATCTTTCAAAAAAAAGGCAAAAATTCCCAGCATCTCTAAAGATTGGAGAAGAACATCTACATTTTCCCATTAATCAATCCATTGACTGTGACTAGAGCCATGATGAGGGAATGGTCAAAATGGGGCTTCATCTCCAAACTTAATACATCATCTCCCAGCATGATTCCTGAACAAACTTGCTTCTGCTTTACCTGGAACAAAGATTCAATCCTCAATGTCTTTCATTTTATATGAATGAGTTAATACAAAGAAAACCTGATATACTGACCTCTGCAACAACATCCCCATCTATGTCTACAATCCGAAATGATGCCTTGTGAGCCAAGCTAACTATCCAGTACTTGCAATGCCCCACTGTAACTTCACAAGCTAAATCTCCCATAAAAACTCTGCTGCATTTTCTCACCTGAAACCATGGCTTCTTTGTGTCTAATCTGTATCCATCCCAACGTCCAAAAATTCTCAATCTCTGCAAAAAACAAAACCTAGATCAACTAAAACCCTTCTCAAAGGTTTGGAATAGACATACATTATATACGTATATATGACTTTTTATACCTTTCTTTGTATGGTACAGAGGACTTTCCCTTGCCTGTCCATTAGAAAAACTTCACTGCTGCATTTGCTGTCATAGTTATCGACACGATAAACAATCTCCCCTTTGGAATCAAAGACAGTGCAGCCATTTGCATGATACACCAATGATTTCATCCATATAGTGAATGTTTTACTTTCTGAACTCATACTGCACGGAGCTTCAAGGGGTCCTGTAACTTCTGCATGCTAAACCTTAGCCATTGAACAAAACCCTAAAATGAAAAGAAAAAGGCCTTTCAAGGGTGGAATAGAAGATGCTCACAAGATCTTCAATGGCATATTTATTTTCCCTGAAACTTGGCTGTTTCTGATTCATGCATTAAATAATCTTGCAACACGACAGTCAAAGAGCTCATGGTACATTAGTAATCTCTTTCATTTCTTAATCCGAATTTTTATTTGTAATCTTAAATTGTTATTGGTTTCTTATTTGTTAGAGATGTGATTGAATCTCTTTTTTTATGTCTTTCTGCATAGAATATATATAACTTTGTTAAACAAAGAAGGTACACTCTTTGAACTTATTCCTCATATTAATCTGTTCTTAACTGCGTTAGCAGTTAGCCTGTTAAAGTTGAATGATGTCATCTGATTTCTGATGGCTTAAAAATTTAAGACACAAGTTGCAGCCTCCAGCAGTGAATAATTTAGTCATAATTACATTATCATTGGTACTTAACAGATTGAGTTTTAAGTTTAACCAATCAGGATTCAGAAATAAGGATAGATAATGAGACATTTGATGGCTAAATGCATATCTCTGCTGGGGAAATGACTGCACCTATCCAAATTTGTAGTTCTGATCTTCAAGCTGATGATAAGGATGATTTTGATTTGTGGAATGAAAAAAAAAAGGGAGAATAAGATAAGAAACAATTGTAAAGAAGGTCATTGTGAAATTGTCTAGCACTTTAAATGTTAGGACTCTCTATAAAATTGTTCAAATAATCTTAATAAACATTTTTTATGTGTTAATTCATTAATGATATTTTAATTTTTTTCATTATTAATACTGACATTTTAATTACCAGAACATCCTGATTTTCCTCAATCCTCTATCATGGATGCTGAACTACAAAATTGAAACTGGGTTCAAAATTCTCAATTAGAAGCATCTTGTTTGAATGGGCCAATGAATTAGAATTTAGGATTCACTGTATATTGGGCTGGAGCTAGGAGAGAAAAGGCTCATAGATGACTTAGCTCACCCCAGAGGATTTATGAAACAGTAAGACAGTGAATCCACTCTCACCATGTTAAGGAGATTGACATCATTATCTATTTTGTGGCATTTGGATGACTGATAGAGCATCATCAACAATTCATCATCCAGCTGGAGATTGCTTTTTGAAGTGCTAAACACATCAAAGTACCAGTAAACCGGGATTCACTCTTCAAATCATCAATTGGCAGACAAAAAGTAAACCTAATTTTGCTTCTGGCTTACAGTGACATCACTGAGTCATTGTGCTCAATGATAGATGATTTACTTGAAAGTCACAAACATTTCCTGTTAGAACACGCTACTTCTTTCATTTTCACAGATCCTATTTGGGGACAAAGATGTAACAACTTCCAATGTTCATTTATATTGAACACTACAAGTAAGTTGGTGGAGTCTGATCTCCTTTCCTAATCTCTTATTTTTATTGAATATTTTATGAAGTCAGGCTGATAGCTTTAAAATTCCCATTTTAAATGTAAACGTGATGCTGTCTTGGGAAAATGATTGCCAACATTTGGTTATGGCTCTGTAAGTGCCATCAGCATCATATTAGCTTTAGTGTTTTCTTATCCTACTAAACTTCTAAATAATGCAGCTGTATCTTATATCACTAAAATTAGCTAAATCAACAGTGACATCTGAATCCACAAGTCTCAGTCTGTCAGTCTTGTGTTTTAACTGAACCAAAGCTTCATTGTTTTAAACTAATGGCAGGTATTTGCAGCCTTTATGTTTACCATGGGATAGATGAAGTTCCTCTTGATGGGGTAGAACAACTCATGTTAATGGTTTAAACCCTGGAAAAGGCACTGTTTATTTATTGAATTTGATACAATTTATTCATACAGAAAGGCAGGACAGGTCTACTACAATGTCTACAAATAAATATACAAGGGAATTGAAAACACTGATTACAGGACTAAAAAGACTATATATGGCTTTCATCATTTCTTTGCATCTTTTTTCTCTTCTTTCTTTTCTTCCTTTGCAGGTCCTACAGTAACTATGTCTATTTTTCCTAGTTTCTTCAGCTTTTTGGCTATTGCAATTGTGTCCATGTCTCCAACAATGGTAAGCTTCTGCCCCTTCAAATCGGCTGCAATCGAATCAACTCCTGTTCACCAATCACCAGAAGAAGCTATTTATTTTATAATTATCATTGGTAAAAATGAATAAAAATGAACATTTTTTCCTGGGAAGAAATTGAAGCAAATGGTCTAAGATAAAGCTTTATTCGGACATTAAAAAAAGGAATGCAAGCTGCATCAATACTTCAGTAGGCCTAATAAGTGATAACTACCATAAATGTCAGCAACAGCCTCTATGGCTTTCTGCTTTGTTTTCTCATCATTCATAGTCAAGATCTTCAATACCACCTTCTGCAAACAAAAGCTTATTGAAATTAACCAAAATTGCAAACTAAGAGATAGACAAATTTCTAACAAGAGCAAGGCCAATGATATATAATTACCTGAGCCATGTGAATACTGAAGTTCAAAAGAATGGAAGATCTATCAAAATGGCAAAATACATAGCAAGTTGTAACGGGTGGCCTTTGTGTGTGAGTGAAGGAATCTGCATACTAATATATATATATATATAGTGCGTTAGGCTATGGCTTAGATCATGATTAGCACGCATGGTCAAACCTTGTTGGCCACAATCAATAAAGGGGGCCTTTTTCTTGCCTTTTCTCTCTTGCTTTTTCCTCATAGATTCTTTCTTCCTCAACAAACAACACCATGAAGGAACCGGGCTTTAGGCCCAATGGTACGATCTCAAATTTTAAGTACTTAAATGAGGTGGTTGAAGTTTCGAGCTTCGTTATTGTCATGAACTCTACCAAAAAGTAACTCAATGATCGCGCGCCTCATCTGAGGAAGTGGAATGTTCACCTGATCTGAGGACCAGTTGCTAATAATTAATTCATACTAACTTTCTAACCATTATTTTTGTCAGAAAAAAAAAAAAAAAAAACCATGAAGGAGACTCAACTCCCACTTTCTCAAGCAGTACCCGGCCTTTTTTTCACAATCCAGAAGTAGAAGTAGCAACTACAACAATTTTTTATTTAATTGGGATAGGTCCTGTTCCAAGCAATCAAATCTTAGTCAAAATAAAATTACTAAATCTTCAGTAATGGGAAATAGCACTACAAGTAATTTAATCACAAGAAAATAAATAAATAAATTCTTCCACTCTACCACCTGTATGTTTTTGCTGTCTTTTTCTGATCCAGAGGCTTACATTAAAAGCCAAGAATCACACCTGATTTAATTGGATATAAATTTGACTTTTACAATCATCTCAACGAAAAAACTAACCCCTTGTTTTTCTTTCTAAATTGATAATCATTCTCAAGGTTTTTAAAACCGGATCGGATCAGTTGGTTGAACCGATTGGATCAGTACCCGGTGATGGAAATGATTTGGTTTACATAAGAAAACCAGTTGAATATTTGATGTTAAAACCGGTCAAAATCAATAAAACCAATGAAAACCAGTGAAAACCGAGGGACCGATGGAACCGGAAAAACCATCGGTTCAATTTCTCATGTAATCTTCTTTCAATTTTTTCCAATTTCACCCTTCTCATTCCTTTCTTATACCCATTTTAACCTTTAATTTTAACAAAATTACAAAATTATCAACATCAAATTAGAAAATCCATGCCTGCAGCTTGCTCCTCTCATCAAATCTTCCTTACTGTTTGGATCGGTTCATCGATTTAATCGATTGAACCAATTAAACCAAAAACCAAACCTAAAAACGGTTCAATGACCGATCCAATTTTAAAAACCTTGATCATTCTAGTGGAGCACTCAGAGCTTCCTGTCAAAACTTAAAGTAATCACAAGAAGCATATATTTGTATACAGTACACACAATAATTATTATGGTCCCGACTCTGTTAATCTTTGTCTTTTGACAATAGTCACAAAACCCTTATTGTAGATATAGAACCTAAGCATGCTAAATCTAACAGTCAATCTCTTAGGAAAATAAAAGGATAGTTCTTTAGGGAGCGACCTTGGATGCTTTCATTGGTAATCACCAACCCAATTTTAATGATACAGATAAGAAAGGAAATAATATATTTATTAAGATTTTATTATTATTATGGATATATAAAAATTAAATGGAAATATTATTAGTATTTTATATTTATTAGGATATGTTATTATTTTTATTGAATATTCAATTGGAAGTTTAATTAAGAAGTATAATTTAGAATTTTAAATTTGATATTTAAGTAGGGAAATGATTTTTATACAACCTTTTTATCTCATTTTTTTGTATAATCTGACGTATTATTTAAATAATTGATTTTTTTAATTTATGTGAGACCCATAATATTGAATACACCCACTTATCTAATGACATGTGGAAGTTGTATAAAAAGATGATATAAAAAAGTTGTCTTTATCGCACCACTCATTTAAGTATAGGTTATATTGCCAACGATTTATGTAACTTAGTGATTATCTCCTTCCGCTGACAGTAAGAGGTATTGAATTCAAATCATATGATATGCAAATAAAATGAGATAAATGATAAAAAATGATTATTTCTTGTTATGCAATCAACATAAAAAAAAAAAAAAAAAGAGTATAGGTTATATTAAGATTATGAAATTGAAGTATTTATGAGTTGAAATTACCTTCTAAAAATCCCTTATTCTGCTATTGTCTTCCCACCCTTGCCCCTACTTATAAGTTCTATCCTAACCTTTGCTTCCTTTCCTTTTCTTATATTTAAGTGTAGGTTATATTAAGGTTATAAAATTGAAGTATTTATAAATTAAAATTATTTTCTAAAATTCCTTAATTTTACCATCCTCACCTTTGTTTCCTTTCATATGTCAATTGGTATCAGGGCATACTCTGTTTCTGTTCTATCCTCTGTTTCTAAGTTCTTTCATTGGTAATCACTAATCTAATTTTCTTTAGCCCTTAGGTCAAATACTAATCATAATAACATGCGTGACTCGTGACTAGAGCCACCACACCACCATTCTTTATTTCTCTCTCCTTAACTGGAAAAACACTAAGCAATTATTGGGTGGGATGGGAATGAGAGAGAAACAAACTTCAAATTGGAAGCTGCTGCAACCCTTTTTCTTCTCCATTCTTCAACAATTTGATACCCAAGTAGCTTGAATGTAATGTTTTTATTCTGATTCAGTAGAATTCAACATGGTACAGGGATCTGCAGTTGCCACCCATCTCCCAGAGATATCATTCTGGAGGCCTGTATTGAAAATGAGAAATGCCAAGATTACAACTTTTCTCATCTTGGTTGTCATTGTTTCTGTGTCTTTCTTATCTTCCGTGTGGATTGACACTGTAAGTATAGAATTAGAATGCCCTGTTCTCTCCTTCTGAATTTCCCTGTTTAATTGAATTCTTCTTTTCTATTTTTCTGTTTTCAGTCTAAGTTTTTGATCCAGAATCCCACAAACCAAACCATGATAATCTCTGAAACTCACAAGAGCACTCCACAGAGAATCGAATTCCCATTGGAATGCTGCACCGGCAACCAAACACAAACCTGTCCAACAAACTACCCAACAACATACCAGACCGAAGACTTTAACCGGGTTTGCCCCGATTACTTCCGGTGGATCCACGAAGATTTACGACCCTGGCGCACCACCGGAATCACCAGAGACATGGTGGAAAGGGCCAACGCTACGGCGACGTTCCGGCTAGTAATCGTCGGCGGCAAGGCGTACGTTGAGAAGTACAGAAAATCTATACAGTCGAGAGACGTGTTCACCATCTGGGGCATCCTTCAGCTACTGAGGAGGTACCCCGGCAGGCTGCCGGACCTGGAACTGATGTTCGACACGGAGGATAAGCCGGTGGTGAAGTCACGGGATTACCGTGGGGCGAATTCCAGGGGACCACCTCCGGTATTCCGTTACTGTGGAGATAAGTGGACGATGGACATCGTGTTCCCTGATTGGTCCTTCTGGGGATGGTAAAAGCTTCACTTTCACTTCTTCCCTTTCTTTTCTTTTCGCCCATCCTGTGCCGCAATTATCGAGACAAACGCATGGCGTTTTCCACCCGTTAGCACTATTAGCTTCTAGATGGACCTTTGTTTTGTTTGTTTGTTTTCTAGTTTTGGATTGATGCATTCAGGTCCCTTTACAATGACATTCACCAACCGAACACGGATGTGGTCATGGTTACAGCTTACATTCAGATTCATTCAGATTTATTGTGGTTATATAATTTTATCCAATTATAATTTTTAAAAAATTAATTTCTAATTTATTAAATAGTAAATATTATTATTTTTATTAATTATTAATTATTTTTAATAATTTAAGTACCATAGAAGTTTGATAGTGTATCTAGTTTTAACAAATTTTGAGTGTTTGAAAAACCACAGCTACCTAACACATTCTCCCTTAATTTGGAGAATTTTTCTTTAAACTCCTATATTTTTAACTCTTTGCAAATTGACCCCAATGGCTCATTTTACTACAGGGCAGAGATAAATATAAAGCCATGGCATGGTATATTGAAGGACATTGAAGAAGGAAACAAGAGGAGGAAATGGATGGATAGAGAACCTTATGCCTACTGGAAAGGAAACCCTTTTGTTGCTGACACCAGACAAGACCTCCTCAAATGCAATGTCTCAGAACAACAAGACTGGAATGCCCGCCTTTACATCCAGGATTGGATACAAGAGTCCAAACAAGGATTTAAACAATCAGACCTTGCTAACCAATGCACCTACAGGTAATTATTTTCTTGACTTCTTCGAGTATCCTAGACCAGTTTATGCATACCACACTACTATTAGACTGAACCTACCTTTAGTCTGGTCAAAGGCGAGCAAGGAATTAATTTCAACTAGAAGTTAAAATATTTAGATCAATCTGTTTGGGAAGTTGAATCAATATTCATGGTTTCATTTGTTTTTTCTTATATATATTTGCTAGGTATAAGATCTACATTGAAGGATATGCATGGTCAGTAAGTGAGAAATACATTCTAGCTTGTGATTCAGTTACGCTGCTTGTGAAGCCTAAGTTCCATGATTTCTTCATAAGAAGCTTGCAGCCAGTGCATCACTACTGGCCAATACGAGACAACGACAAGTGCAAGTCCATCAAGTTTGCCGTAGATTGGGGCAACAGCCACAAGAAGAAGGCACAGGAAATTGGACAAGCAGCCAGCAGATTCATGCAGGAGGAGCTGAAAATGGATAATGTGTATGACTACATGTACCACCTGTTGAATGAGTATGCCAAGCTTCTGAGGTATAAGCCAAGTGTGCCTGATGGGGCTGTGGAGTTGTGCTCAGAGGCCATGGCCTGTCCTGCAAGTGGGCTGGAGAGGAAGTTCAAGATGGAGTCACTGGTCATGGGCCCTTCTATTTCAAGCCCATGCACTTTGCCTCCCCCATTCCCACCCAATATTCTTGCTACATTTATAAAGAGAAAAATCAATTCATTGAACCAAGTGGAGAAATGGGAAAATGGGTATTGGGAAAAGTTTCAATAAAGCAGCAGCAATAGTGATCCAGTAGTACATGTAACATATCATGATGAAATGTCTAGATAGAAACTTGGGTCTTCACAATACCCATATACATGCCTGGCCCAACAAAAAGGGCTTCAAAAGGATTATTATTTTTTTAATCTCTTTATGAGAAATAAAAGAAATAATGAAAATGAAACCCCTTCCATTCAACATGCAGAGATCACAAGGCAAGAGCTGAGAAAAATTTAATGTAGCTGTTGTTTTAGATGAACAAGAAATAAAGAATAAAAGGGCAGTGTACTATTTTCCATATCAAAATTGACACTGGAGAATCCTGGTGAAGAAATAAATGCTTCAAAGTGCAGCAGAGGTGGGTGGGGGCTATGGCCCTGCTTTAATATTATTTTTGGATGGTTTTGATTGTTAGAGGATGGAATGACAAAATTGTTTACTGTTTATGTGGTTTTGTTTTTGTTCCCCCTCCAATTAATTGGTGGACCTCCTGCCTCCTGGTTCCTTCTTCTGCCCCTTATACGATAATAAGAATGAAAACTAGATCAACCTTAATTACTACATTAGGCTTCACCATTTTAAACCCCATCATATATATTAATGCCAGAAATAGACACATGAGAATGAGACCACAGGCAGCCCTTATAATGGATGGATATATGAATTAATCATGAGGAAGCTAATCAATTTTATGTTGATGTTAATTTCTTCACCAACACCACAATTTTTTTGTTTTTTTCGGCTAAAAATTTTGGAAGTATTTAGTCATTGTCATGACCAAACGCTGACACTTGCTTATGGCAAAAATCTTGTTTTAGGGAAAGTAATTATTTGAAAATTAAGCCAGCAAACATAAGGTTTAAGGGAGTGATTTTGGAGTCAATCTTTTTTAATTTGATGGAACCTTCAAGCAATATTAGCTGCTATGCGTAGCCTGAGACCTACCAAATAAAAAATAATCCCACCAAATCATAAGGGCTCTTGCCTTTGAAGTGTTAAACCAAACTTTGAAAATTCTAGCTCATGGGTACTGAAAATGACAACATAGCTGATCCCACCGCACCATGTACCATGAACATGAAGCCAAAAGGCATCAAATGAAACACATAAGTTTTTCTTCTTTTTGATTAGAGAGAAAAAAAAAAAAAAAAAAAGAAAAAAAGAAGAAGAAGAAGACATTGTTGGAGCTAGCTGTAGAATTTTGTTGACTACACTTAGAAAGAGCGGGCGTGATTCATTTGCTATTTGAAGTGTAGGGTAGGGAGAAAGGAGAAAGAAAAGGTCTTGGAGAAACTAATTTATTGCAAGAACCTAACTAGGAGATCCAAGAAAGACACAAGGGGTCCATTTCTTTTATTTCTTCTTCATCCTTCAATTCCTTTCTCTACCAAAGGATTCATTGTTTTAAAACACACGAGAGTCCTTGTCTTGAAGGTAAAACAATGGACCACATTTCTACGTGAAAGGATGAATGGACCTTTCAATCAAAAGTGAGAAACCAACATCAATTTTAAAATATCATTGTGTTTCAGGTTTGAATTTCAAACTATATCAATTTTATTAATTTGATTTTTTTTTATTGATAAGTTACATTAGAAAAAGATTATCTTTTCATATCTTTTTACCTTGTTTGTGTCATGATTCAAAATTAAAATCACTATGCGTTGAAAGAATGAGATCACCATTGCACTAATTCACTAACCAATTTTAGATCTAATCTAAATTGCTTTAGAAAAAGAAAGGGCTTTACTTTTGCCAATGTGACATCAAACATATCTAAAAAAAGGGTATTATTAGGTTGTGGCACAATTTTAATGGTTGAAAGAAGCAAGAAATGTCCCACATTTCGACAATGAGGCAATAGAATATCTCCATCTGTCCATTGCAAAAAAGGGCTGGAAGCATCTGATTATTTCAAGATCCCAAATTGAAAATCATGAGGCCCCCCCTTCCCTTGAAAACTACTCAATCTTGAGAGGGACTTGCTTGGAAGCATTGTGAGTGAGGAGCCTTCATGCTTAAACAATCTTCATGCCCTGTCACCCCCAGCCATACAAAAGGGATTCACTATGACATGCCAAACAATAAAAAGGCTACCCAAAAATTACTATTTTAATTCAAAAAAATAAAATAACACATATTCAACTAATATGCACAATATAATGGATTTTTAATATAAGTATATAGCAACTTGCCACTTAATCATGTGCATTTTTTAATAATTTCTCATCCCAACCAAGAAGATTCTTAATTGATGTTTGTCTTGGTTCTTTTCAGTCTATATACCAAGTATTTTCCTCTAAGTCTTTATAAAGACTAAGACAATGGAATTGCTAATTATGTACACAGTTTAGTCCAATTCACTCAACTCTCACGTCTTGAAATTTTATCTAATTTATATTTTAAGAATATAAGGTTAAAAATATAATAAATAATAAATTTATTTTAAAAAATAAAAATTAATTTTTAATTTATCAAATATTTAATTAAATATATTTATATACCACTAATATTAAATTATTATTAATTTTTATACTATTTTATATACATTTATAATAAAAATATATCATCAAACTGTACATAAAGTCATTGGTAGAAAAAAACCCAATTTTAAAAATGGGATGAAGTTGTTTTGTTTGTTGAATACGTTCCACAGGCCACGCGCAAAAGAATTTTAGCTCCCAATTCGTGGGTAACAACTGTAAAATGTGAAATTTTGAGCTTCTAAAAAGGTGGTAGCAAAAATAATCCTATCTTTATTTAGATCTAATTGTTTTAATTTAATTTTTATATAAAACTTAATTTAATAAATTTATTTAATAATTCAATAATAATTAAAAAAATTTTAAGTAAAAGTATTTAATAAATATTATGGATAAAAAATTAATTATTATTTATTTATTATATAAAATTATTTTATTAAATTTTATATAAAAATTCAATTAAATAATTAAATTTGACTGAAGAGAATATCAAATAAATAAATAAAAGCTTTTAAAAGAGGAGGGTGGGGGGGAAGGGGGCGGGTTTGTCTCAACATGTAGAGTATAAGACTGAAAAGAATATGAAAAACATCCGTGTTTGGTATGCTCTCCTCAGAATGGGAATTCAGAAAAATCGTGCCTAGAAGAACTTCATGTAACTAATTATGCAAGTTTAATGGCGTAAAACCGTTTATACATGTGTTATGTGTACCAGATTGAGCACCCAAAAATGGAAGAAAAGTTTTCAGGGTATGTAAAGTTTGCAAACTATGTATCTCCATATATTTGATCATAACTTCTTATAATTAATTATACATGTTTAAATGAACGACCTTATATAATTTAGTGGTCATTTTTTTTTATTGGAAGTAAGAGATATTCAGTTTGAGTTGCATAGTATGTGTGTGAAATGAAATAAAAGATGAAAAATTGTTGTTTCTTATTGTGCATTTAAGATAAAAATATATATAGATATATATGTCGAATAATTGGTCAGTCCCATCCAAAAAAAAAAAAAAACTGATTATACACAAAATGCAAGGACCAAATTAAATCACTAAGTATAGCTCTTAAAATGTGAAGTAGCTAGGGGCAAAAATCTAGATTATTGCATAATCAAATTAAATCACCTAAATTAGAATAAATTTCTTGTGCCTTTTGCCTTTTTTTTTTCTTCTCTTTTATAGGTTCTTTTCGTGTCTTTTAATTGCGTATCACATGTTTAATTTACTAATAAGAATTTGGTTAAGTTAATATTTATTAAAAATTTTAATTTATAATAAACGTTAGAGTTTTGTATTGGAGGTAAAATAAAATTTTAACTATTTATTTTTTTATATACAAGAAATGATTTATTTATATATAAATTTTATATATTTTATTTATATAATATCTTGATAATTTATTTTTTCACTCCTAATAGTTGAGATTTATTATTATTTT